ATGGTAATCGTTTGGTAATCGTATGTTTTTTTTTTTTGTCGAATGATAATCGTAAGGTTTTCGTGTGGTAATCATATGGTAGTCGTATGGTAATCGTATGGTAATCGCATGGCAATCTTAAGGTGATCGAGTGGTAATCGTATGGTAGTCTTATGGCAATCGTATGTTAATCGCATGGCTTTCGCCTGGTATTCCTTCGTACGGTAATCGTGCGGCAGTCGTATGGTTTCCGTTTGGCTTTCGTATGGTAGTCGTATGGTAATCGTATGGTAATCGCATGGTAGCCGTATGGTAGTCGCGTGGTAGGCGTGTGGTAGTCGTATGGTAATCGTATGGTAGACGTACGGCAATCGTATGGCACTTGCGTGGTAATCGTATGGTGGTCGTATGGCAATATGATGGTAGTCGCATGTTAAGCGTATGGTAGTCCGATGGCATTCGTATGGTAGCCGTGTGGCAATCGTATGGTAGTCGTATGGTAGTCGTTTGGTAGTTGTATGGTAATCGTATGGTAATCGTATGGTAATCGTATGGTAGTCGTATTGTAATCGTATGATAGTCGTATGGTACTCGCATGGTGGGCGTATGGTAGTCGTATGGTAATCGTATGGTAACCGTATGCTAGTCGTATAGTGATCGCGTGGTAGTCGTATGGTAATCGTATGGTCGTCGTATAGTAATCGTCTGGCCATCGTATTGTAATCGTATGGCAATCTTACAATAATCGTATGGTAATCGTGTGGTGAGCGTATGGTAATCGTATGGTCGCCGTATGGTAAGTCGTATGGTTGTCGTACGGTGGTCGCATGGCAAGCGTGTGGTAGTCGTATGGTAATCGTATGGTAATCGTATGGTAGTCGCATGGTAACCGTGCGGTAATCGTATGGTAGTCGTATGGTAGTCGTATGGCAATCGTGTGGTAATTGTATAGTTTTCGTATGGTAGTCGTATGAGAGTCGCATGGTAATCGTATGGTAGCCGTATGGGATCCGCATGTAGTCATATGGGGATCGTATGGTAGTCGCATGGTAACCGTATGGCAACCGCGTGGTACTCGTATGGTAGTTGTATGGCAGCCGTATGGTAGTCGTATGGCAATCGTATGGTAGCCGTGTGGTAGCCGTATGGTAGCGGTATGGTTATTGTGTGGTAGTCGTATGGCAATCGTGTGGTCATCGTATGGCTTTCGTGTACTTTTTGTGCGCGGCGGATCCCCCCGCAAGGACACCCACGACCCACCCGTCCAACCCCCAAAGGAGTAAATTGCGCTGAATAAGATCAGCTCTCGAAGTAGTAGTAGTAGCAGTATCAGTAGTAGTAGTAGTAGTAGTAGTGGTAGCAGTAGTAGTAGTAGTAGTAGTAGTAGTAGTAGTAGTGGTAGTAGTAGTAGTAGTTGTAGTAGTAGTGGTAGTGGTAGTAGTAGTAGTCGCGGTAGTGGTACTAGTGGTAGTTGTAGTAGACGTATTTGCAATAGTAGCTGTCGTAGTAGCTGTCGTACTAGTAGTAGTAGTAGTAGTAGTAGCAGTAGTAGTAGTAGTAGTAGTAGTAGTAGTAGTAGTAGTGGTAGTAGTAGTAGTAGTAGTAGTAGTAGTAGTAGTTGTTGTTGTTGTTGTTGTAGCTGTAGTCGTACCAGTAGTAGCAGTAGTAATAGTAGTAGTATTATCAGTAGTCGTAGTAGAAGTAGTAGTAGTAGTACTAGTAGTAGTAGTAGTAGTAGTAGTAGTAGTAGTAGTAGTAGTAGTTGTAGTAGTAGGAGGAGTGGGAGTAGTATGAGTAGTAGTCGTAGCCCTAGTAGTGGTAGAAGTCGTAGTAGTCGTAGTAGTAGTAGGGGTAGGACTAGTAGTCGTAGTAGCAGTCGTCCTCGTCGTCGTCTCCGTCGTGGGGGTAGTAGTTCTGGTGGTAGTAGTAGTGGTCGTCGTAGTAGTAGTAGTAGTAGTAGTAGTAGTCGTCGTAGTAGTAGTAGTAGTAGTAGTAGTAGTCGTCGTCGTCGTCGTCGTAGTAGTAGTAGTAGTAGTAGTAGTTGTTGTAGTAGTAGTAGTAGTAGTAGTAGTAGTAGTAGTAGTCGTAGTAACCGTAGTAGTAGTAGTAGTAATAGTAGTAGTAGTAGTCGTACTAGTAGTAGTAGTAGTAGTAGTAGTAGTAGTAGTAGTAGTAGTAGTACTAGTCGTAGTAGTAGTACGAGCCGTAGTCGTTGTAGTAGCCTTAGTAGTAGTAGGAGTCGTAGTTCAGTAGTAGTTTATCTAGTACGAGTAGTAGTAGTTCAAATAGTAGTCGTTATAGTAGCCGTAGCAGTAGGAGTCGTAGTGGCAGTGGTAGTCATGATCATAGTAGTATTCGTGGTAGTAGTAGTAGTGGTAGTAGTAGTAGTAGTAGTAGCAGCAGTGACAGTAGTGGAGTTTGACACTAGTAGTAGTAGTAGTAGTAGTAGTAGTAGTAGTAGTAGTAGTAGTAGTAGTGGTAGTCGTAGTAGTAGTCGTAGTAGTCGTAGTAGTCGTACTAGTAGTAGTAGTAGTAGTAGTGGTAGTAGTAGTAGTAGTAGTAGTAGTAGTAGTAGTAGTGGTAGTAGTAGTAGTAGTCGTCGTCGTAGTAGTAGTGGTAGTAGTAGCAGCAGTGGTAGTAGTAGTAGTAATCGTAGTAGTAGTAGTTGTAGTAGTAGCAGCAGCAGCAGCCGCGGCCATAGTAGCAGTAGTAGTAGTGGTAGTAGTCGTAGTAGTTGTAGTAGCTGTAGTAGTAATACTAGTAGTAGTAGAGGTCAAAGTAGTAGTAGTAGTCGTCGTCGTACTAGTAGTGGGAGTATTCGTAGTAGTAGTAGTAGTAGTAGTAGTAGCAGTAGTAGTAGTAGTAAGTAGTAGTAGTGTAAGTAGTAGTAGTAGTAGTATTAGTAGTGGTGGTAGTAGTCGTAGTAGTCGAAGTAGTCGTGGTGGGGGTAGTAGTGGTAGTAGGATTAGTAGTAGTTGTAATAGTTGGTCCCGTAGTAGTTAGTAGTCGTAGTAGTAGTAGTGTCGTAGTAGTAGTAGTAGTAGTAGTAGTAGTAGTAGTAAGTAGTAGTAGTAGTAGTAGTAGTAGTAGTAGTAGTAGTAGTAGTAGTAGTAGTAGTAGTAGTAGTAGTAGTAGTAGTAGTCGTAGTAGTAGTAGTAGTAGTAGTAGTAGTAGTAGTAGTGTAGTAGTAGTAGTAGTACTAGTACTAGTACTAGTACTAGTACTAGTACTAGTAGTACTAGTAGAATGTTCAGTAGTGGCAATCGTATTAATAGTAGCCGTACCAGTTGTAGTAGTCGTGCAGGCAGTCTTGGTAGCTGCAGCAGCCGCATCCGCCGTCGCACAATTTGTAGTTGCAGGAGTTGTAGTAGCAGTAGCAGCAGTTATAGTAGTGGTCGTTGTCGTAGTAGTCTCGGTCGCGGTAGTAGTAGCAGTAGTAGTAGTAGTCGTAGTAGTAGTAGTAGTAGTAGTAGTAGTAGTAGTCATGATTGTAGTAGTCGCAGCAGTCGTAGTAATTGCAGTAGTGGTAGTCGTAGTCGTACGCGTAGTCGCAGTCGTAATCTTAGTCGTAGTCGTAATCGTCGGCGTGGTCGCAGGAGTAGTAGTAGTAGTAATGGTAGTAGTATTCGTAGTAGTCTTAGTAGTAGAAGTAACATTAGTAGTATTCGTAGTAGTAATAGTAGTAGTAGTAGTAGTAGTAGTAGTAGTCGTAGTAGTAGTAGTAGTAGTAGTAGGAGTAAGAGTAGTAGTAGTAGTAGTAGTAGTAGCAGTAGTAGTAGTAGTAGTAGTAGCAGTAGTATTTGTTTTATTAGTAGTAGTAGTAGTAGTAAATGTAGTAGTAGCAGTAGTAGGCGTAGTAGTGGTAGTAGTAGTGGTAGTAGTAGTAGTAGTAGTAGTAGTAGTAGTAGCAGCAGTGGTAGTAGTAGTAGTAGTAGTAGTAGTAGTAGTAGTAGTAGTGGTCGTAATCGTAGTAGTTGTTAGTAGTAGTAGTACTAAGTAGTAGTAGTAGTAGTAGTAGTAGTAGTAGTAGTAGTAGTAGTATTAGTAGTAGTAGTAGTAGTAGTAGTAGTCGTAGTAGTAGTAGTAGTAGTGGTGGTGGTAGAAGTAGTCGTGGTAGTAGTAGAAGTAGTATTCGTAGTATTTGTCGTAGTAGTAGTAGTCGTAGTAGTAGTAGGAGTAGTAGTAGTAGTGGTAGTAGTAGTAGTAGTAGTAGTAGTTGTAGTAGAAGCAGTAGTAGGCGTAGTAGTGGTAGTAGTGGTAGTAGTCGTAGTTGTCGTAGTTGTCGTAGTGGTAGTATTAGTAGTAGTAGTAGTAGTAGTAGTAGTAGTAGTAGTAGTAGTAGTAGTAGTATTAGCAGTGGTAGTAGTAGTAGTAGTAGTAGTAGTAGTAGTAGTAGTAGTAGTCGTAGTAGTAGTAGTAGTAGTAGTAGTAGTAGTAGTAGTCGTAGTGGTAGTAGTAGTAGTAGTAGCAGTAGTCGTAATAGTCGTTGTCGTAGTATGTGAAATATTATTGTTTTTTCCTCTGCTATCGTTCGGCACGCCCGTTGCTGTCTGTGCTCAAGTCATATCAGGGGTTCATGCTCACCTGGGCCGACCTCTTAGGCCTCGCCCGCGATCTGCTGCCCGCGGCCTTTCACCTGCGGACGTCCCTGGCGGCGAGCACGTGCCCCGCGTGCCCCTCGCTGGAGTGCCCGCACGTGGTGCTGCCGGCGTGTCCCGGCTTGCAGTGCGGGGACTGCTCTTGCCCGGAGCTGGCCGGCCTGAGCGGGCTGGGGCCGCTCCTCTGGGCGGGCGCGGGCATCGCGCTCGCCAGCGCCTTGGCTGGGGGCTTCACGGGCTTCCTGCTGGGCGCGCTCGTCGGCGCCCCGTGGCGGCGCCCAGCCGAGGCGGCGAGGCCGCGCGCGGCGGCGGCAGCAGCGACTGGGCCCGCCTTTCTCGAGGCGGGGGGGCGGCCTGCCGGCGCGGGGCCCACCACACCGGCGCAGCTGAGGGATGCCCACGCTTGACACACGGTGTGCGCAGGTGTTGGTTCACTACCCAGATGATCCGAATGGGCTGGTGTGGCATCATCGTGTGCTGTTACATCGCGTTAGTGGCGGTCGGTGGGTGTGCCTCACTCCCGACTTGCAGCTGCAGATCCATGATCTCAACGACCAGAGGCACAAGGTGCTGTCGAGGAGGGCGGCCTTCCCGGCCAACGTGGCGGCCGCCTCGTACGTGTTCGACGACGACGCGGTGTCGGCCGCCCAGATGGAGGAGTTCAGGGCACAGGCGAAGGTGCAGGCAGCGATCCTCGGGGACGGCGAGTTCGATGACGTCGAGGTCCACAAGTGGGTCGTGTACCAGGTCGACGACGAGCACTTCGGCAAGGAGGTCCCCGAGGAGGTGCTGGCGGACGCACAGAGGTTTGTCAGCCTCGGGAACCTCGGCGTCGTGGACTGGCTCGGAGCCAAGCGGTTCGTGGAGCGAGTCAGGGACGACAAGGTCGACGACTGGAAGGAGAAGCGAGAGTCTTCGGAGGGCGACTCGAGGATCCTCGGCCTGCATCGGAAGAGGGGGAAGCGGAACTTGGCCCTCTCGGATGCGGTCGATCTCTTCACGGAGGAGACGTTCGAGGACTGGCCTTTCCCGCCGCCAAGGGCGGCCAAGGAGTACTTGGAGTCAATACGCGACGGGCCTGGCTCGATGGTGGTGTACGAGAGTGAGTGGAGGCAGGACAGTGGTGTTGGCGACGGTACGGCGGCGCTTCACGAGCACCGCAACAACACCGAGGTCCTGCGGCTGGCCCACCAGGTGGACCAGCTCAACATACCCAACCTGGCGTGCTTCGAGCAGTTGGTGCGCAGGCAGATCCAAATCGAGATGGCGGTCGAGAGGAACGCGAAGCATCCCGACTACGCCGGCCTGGACCTGGTCATGGGCGGCCCGACTACAGAGAGCGGTGCGGCGGCCAGCGCGGGCTTCCGCGGCTGGATCTACAAGAAGCAGGGAGAGCGTGCACAGACCCTCAAGCAGTCTCGTCTTCTTCGTGAGGAGCGGCTCAATGAGGACAAACGTTACAAGAGTGGCAAAGGTGGCGATGATCCCCCCCCGAAGAAGCCTCCAAAGAAGGGGGGGCCGAAGGGGGACGACAAGCAGGCGGGGAACTGACCCCAGTGGTCAGTTCCCTTGTGGCTGGGGCGGCTCTTCAGCATGTCCGTCCCCGCCGACAGTTTTGACCGTGGAGGCGCTGGCGTTCGGCGGCGACTCTGCAGCCAGAGGCGGCATGGCGAGATCTTCCCGCTTCCGTCGCCGGCGGCTCCGAGCTTGGCTTCTCCTGGCGCTCCTCGATACGTTCAGCAGCGTCGGCGTGAGCAGCTCCATCGGCATCAGCGAGAGTGTGAAGCGGTTAGATCACTCAACCAGCTCGCTGCCGCAACTACTTCTTTCTCGAGCGTCTCAAGTACGCGACGATTCGGAGGTGAGCGGGGGACGCCCTTGCAATGCGACGTCCTGCGGCACGTCGCTCGGCGCGTCAAGGCGTGCGGCCCGCCGCCTCGAGACCTGGGCGAGGACGGAGCCCTCGCGGAGCTCCTTGCGTCCAGGGACCTGTACTCGCAGGAGCCGAAGAACCTCGCTGAGTACGACATCTCGAAGCTCAAGATCTGCCGCTCGGGTACCGTGGCGAAGGACGCAAAGTCGCTCTTGCCGCCCGAGACGGCGGGCCTCATCAAGCACTATAGGCATTGCGTGGAGCGCGATGCGGAGCAGATACTGGAAGCTCAGGTGGCCCAGGACTTTCCTAGGCCGTATTGGGACCCGAAGCTGGCGAGGGACCACGACAGCCTCTTCGAGCTCGTGGACCGCCTCAGGGACGCCAACCTCATCGGCTTCCGCAAGAGGCTCAAGGCGAAGGTCGGCATCTTTTTCGTCAAGAAGAAGGACCCCGCGTGGATCAGGCTCATCATTGACGCCCGACAGGCGAACCGCTGCCACAAGACGCCCCCGAAGACACGGTTGGGGTCGGTCGGCGGCTTCTGCGAGCTGGACCTCTCGGACACCGCGCTGCGGGACCTCGGGGGATTCGGCGGCATCGCGGAGATCTGGGGCGGCACCAGCGACGTCGACGACTGCTTCTACCAGATGCTGGTCGAGGAGCTGGGGTCCTGGTTCGGGATCGACCTCCCGCGGGCCGCGGGCGCCTGGGGAGTTGCCCAGGTCTATGACGATGATCTGGGTCGGCGCGTGGCGGTCGAGCCTTCTGAGGTGGTCTATCCTGTTTTCCACGGCATGGCCATGGGGTGGGCGTGGGCGTTGCACTTCGCGAACGAGGCCGTCTCCTACCTGGCCTCTAAGAGCGCAGTGTGCCCCCGCTCGCTGGTACGCGAGCGTACGCCGGCCCCAGTGCTGCGGGCGGGGCAGGCCGTGTCGGGCGTGTACGTGGACAACTTCACCACGCTCGCCGGCGACCGCGAGACCGCGCTCGACTCGGTCCAGAGGTTCAGGCGCGCGGCGGAGGAGGCGCACATCGGCACCCACGTCGACTCCGAGGTCGGCGTGGTCTTCGAGAGCCTCGGAGTGGTCTTCGACGGGAAGCGGAGGTGCTTGCGCCACGTGCCGCGACGCGCCTGGCGCGTCTACCTGGCCACTCGCGCCCTGCGGCGGCGCCGCTGGATCCACGGCAACGTCATGGAGATCTGGCTGGGGCACGTCGTCAACCTGTTCAGTCTGTCTCGGCCGGCTTTGGCGTGCGTGCAGGCGGTCTACCCCTTCGTCGCGGCGGCGCGCGGGAGGCGCGTCCGCCTCACGCCGGCCATCAAGAATGAGATGCGGCTCGTGCAGGGGCTGCTGTTTCTGTCCGAGTACGACCTGGGGGCCGACTTCAGCCACGAGGTGTACTGCTCCGACTCCTCGAGCTTTGGGTACGCTTTGCTGTCGACCACTGCGACGAGCTCGGAGCTTCGTGACCTCACCCGCTATCGTGAGAGATGGCGATTCAAGCTCGTCGACTCACTGCCCGAGGTCGGGCTGCTTCGTCCAGAGTGGGTCGAGTACGCGGGGGGCCGCCTCGCGCCTGGAGGGTCGTGGGAGTTTCCTGAGGGTGCCTATGCTGACGTTGCTGTGCGAGGGTCTCGACCCTGTGCCATCGGCCCGCAGACGCAGTATGGGCGCTCGCTGGAGGCAGCTGCCCAGGAGCGGCCTTTTTCCCGGCCTCGAGTCGGGCGCCGCTCACGGGATCCACGGCCGCGGCCCAGGCAGGAGGAGGTCGAGGTCCCGAGCGCCGTGCCCCCGATCGACCGCTGCTGGGATGATGTCCGAAGGTGGAGGCACCTTCGAGTCGGGCGCTGGCGCTGGACAGAGGAGCACATCAATGTCAAGGAAGGCCGCGTGTCCCTCTTCGGCCTTCGCCGAGCGACGCGCAGTCGCCACAACCACGGGAGGCGGGTCGCCTCTATCGGGGACAACCTGGTCTCAATCTGTGCCTTCGAGAAGGGCCGCGCGAAGTCGTGGGCCCTCAATGCGCTGGCGAGGCGGGCGGCTAGCTACCAGATTGCTGCTCGGATCCGCTGGCACTCACGGCACGTCGAGAGCAAGCGCAATGTTGCCGATGCCGGCTCGCGCCTGCACGAGACTGGGGGAGGGTCGACAGGTGGCCCAGTCGGAGTTTCAGAAGATACCACATCATGTACCATGCGATCCGACACTCCCCCGGCCTCATCTTCGGTCCCTCGGCCCGGCGGTGGACGACACCTCCGAGCGCCTTTTCCAGTACAGGAGACCGTGGCTCTCGAGCTCTTTGCCGGCGAAGCGGGCCTCACTTGTGCTCTCCGGTCCCGCGGACTGCGGGTCGGGCCGCCGTTCGAACTGGAGCGTGGTGCGAGGTTTGACCTCACCAGGAAAAGCACTCAGAACCTCATCAAGTCCTGGATCCTCTCGGGCCTCATATGGTATATCCACTTGGGTACCCCATGTACGGTCTGGTCAGTGGCGAGGCGAGGGGTGTCTAATCTTGGGAAGGCTTACGCTAAGGAGGCGGTGGCGGTGGAGCTGGCCCTCTTCACCGTGGAGGTCTGCGTCTTGGCCTCTAGATGTGGGGTCCTCTGGAGCCTGGAGAATCCCTCGTCGTCGGGTCTCTGGGAGTTCAAGCCTGTCGTGGACCTCATGGGGCTCCCCCAGGTCTTCAAGGTCTCCTTCCACATGTGCCAGTATGAGGTCCAGCACAAGAAGCCCACCACAGTGCTCACCAACGTCCAGGCCCTGCGTGGGCTTGCAGCCAAGTGTTCTGGGGGACATGTGCATCGCGTCCTGGAAGGGCAGGAGCGAGTCTCGGGAGCAGATGGAGTCTGGCGGTCACAGTGTAGAACAAAGACAGCGGGAGCCTATCCGTCATCATTGTGCTCGAGATGGGCTTCTCTCATTTTTCAGATTGCACCAGCCGCTGCGTGCGGCTCACAGCCAAGTTTCGTCAACCAGTGGGATGAAGATCTTGCCTCGCTTGTCGGACGGAGACGTTGTCCAGCCGACCAGGGAGCGCCTCCGCGGAGTGGTGAAGGGAGCGATTCTGAAGTCCCCGCTCGAGCGACGGACTACATCCGCGACCACAGGCTACGGTTTGGCCGCCACCGCCCGCTCTGGGCCGCGGAGGCAGAAGGCATTGAGGAGGCAGGCGGTGGCCGCTAGAGCTGCTGCGCCTCCCGATCGCTTCCTCCAGGAGAGCACGGCTGGCGAGAAGGCGAAGGACATCTACCGCCGCGAGCTGGAGAAGTTCTACGACTGGGCCGAGCAGCAGGGCCGTCCCGTCGGATCCCTCTCGCTGGCGACGACGATGAAGGAGTATTTCTTCAGCAAGTTCCAGGAGGGCTATGGGCCGAGCGTCGGCCGCGCCGTCTTCTTCGGGTATCTGTTGCTGAAGTCCAACAACTACAAGCAGGAGCGGGAGCGCCTCAGCGACGTCGAGAGAGCGATCGCCGGCTGGGCCAAGCGGTCCCGCGAGGTGGTGAAGGACCCAGCGCCCCAGGAGGTGCTGCTGGACATGGGCGCGT